TCCTAATAGTATAACTGTTAATATACTGAATATTAATAATGAGATACAAGACAGTATCAGTATACCAACACAAGTTAATGATCAACTGATGATTACTGGAGTAATAACTGTACCTAATAATTTAAATACATTTATTGTTAATGTATCACTGAGTAATAATGGAGGAGAATATCTACCTACACCTTCTTTTGGATTTGGTAAATAAATAATATTTCCCTACTCAAATGTTCATTTCTATACTTAATACATTAGGTTTTCTTGGACCAGTTACTAACATTGACTCTTCAATTGACAACTGTTCTACTATTGATATAACATGGACTGCTCCTACAGTTGATGATAGAGTACCTATACTGTATTACATACTAAGAATATATGATGCTATTACTGGTAGTCTAGTGGATACTGTATCAGTATATGATACCAGTTATCAGTTTGTGGATAATAATTTATTTATTCATCGTTATACGTATGTTATAACTGGAGTTAATGAATTAGGAGAAGGAATATCTAATAACGTCATGTTCTCTTACCAAAAAGGTATACAGTAATAATAATGCCTCAGTTTCATTGTTTGTACATAGTTCCTAGATCAGCTAGTGAAAACACTGTTTCTATAGACCATACTTTTACACAAAACACTTTTACTATTGTCATACAGTTCAGTATATCAGTAAGAAATATCTATTGAGTAATTATTCATTCTCCTTATTAGGTAATACTAGAGTGTACTGGTGAAGCCCCCAATAGTGCTGAAGTTGCTGTACACTGCAGTGATGCTGGTAGTGTATTTAGTAGCTCTTACTTAATAGAGTATACTAAACAACCAAATAATATAACAGGATTAATATCAGTCCCCCAGTATCAACAGTGTAATATCAGTATTGTATTTAGTAATGAGGCTGGTAGTAGTGAACCATTTATACTAGCATTTGGTAAGTTAGTATGGTGTTTACATTACGTATCACAGTATTATATATTAACAGATACATATCCCAATATCACCACTACTACTATCATTGTACAAACATCCTCTACTGCAACACCTGTTTCAACAACTCTTAATGTCAGTACTGGTTAGTATTACACATATATAATACACATTATATACTGCATGTTATTATAGTTATCACTGCAACAGCATTGGGTGTTATCATTATATTTTTAACAATAATCATCATCATGCTTATTGTTGTATGCAAGAGGAAAGCATACAGTAAGTGTATATTGACATACTTGCTTATTATTAATTACAGGGGTTGCCTCATTACAACAACAAGAGGTGCCTACTGCACGTAATGAAGCGTATCAGTTTAACAGTTTAACTACTAATGATAATCCTGCTTATGGACAAATGAGACAAGGAAGAGCAGGAGCAATTAATATGTGAATCATTTTTAAAAATATTTTTAGCAACTTGATTTTATAAAGGCGTGTGTATAATAATTCTTAATTGAGTGAATTCATATCATATAAAATTGATTATTATGTCATCACCATCATTGGAGTTTAGGGATAGAATTTTAAAGTCATGCAGAAATTGGCCAGACCATTGCTTTTTACTCTCATGTCAGGGTGTACGAGTGTTCTTGTAAACAGTATTGATGTATTATCATAAGGTGTGCGAACCTACTTGTGTGGTAACTAGTAAATGCTGTGAGTGCGGGATGTACAGGTAATGTCAGGTATGTATGTTACTATAATGAATGAAACAAGTAGAGTATGTCATTAGAGAGTGAACTATAAATGGGAATTAATTATTATGTATTTCATTCCAATCCAAACTAAAGCACTTCTAATGTGTAATGAACTGCCAGTATAGTTTAAAACTGAATTTTTGAGTCATTCTAAACTTTATGTTCATTTGCTTCAATGGGCATTATTTCAACCCACCTCCATATATGGTTTGAATATACATTGAATAGAAAGTTGATGGCAGCTGAACGAGAAATGTTATCAAAATAATATGTAAAATGCGGAATGCAATCAAGCTCATTCACAGTTGCTATATTTGTTAATGAATGTAATAATGCTAATAAAATTAGATCTAAATATAATAAATTCAAAAGAAAGTTGCAAAAAAACTTTTCTAAAGGTTACATGTTTGAGTTTTTAAAGGGTCTAATTGGAAATCTATAAAATTTAATAGTAATTTTAAAAACTATGGGTATTTTACACATATTACTACAGGATATTATTCAGAAATTGGCTCATTTAAAAAAATGGTTGTAACTAAAAAATTTGAGCTTTGAATCTTTTCTACATAGCATAAGCACATCAATATGTATCAGAAAATTTAGTAAAAATTTGGGGTCAATTTAGAGCCATTTTTTGAACAA